TAGCCCACCAGGCTCCTCTGTCCATGGAATTTTCCAGGCAGGAAAGAGGAGCTTGGTGGGCTACAATCCATTTCCTACTCCAGGGAACCTTCCCGACCCAGGGATTGAACTCATGTCTCTTGAGTCTCCTGCATTGGCAGGTAGATTCTTTACCACTGTGTCACCTGTGTGAGGAAAAACTAATTAAGAGGAGAGGCTATCAAACTTCAAACATGATCCACAACCTAGACTCGAATATTGCATCCTACTTTTTTCAAACCAAGGTAGAAACCATAATTTCATCCTAATATATTATTAGTGCTAACATTTATCAGGCTTATACTTATTGTTTTTATTTTATTAACCTTATCTTATTTTATTAACTTTAACTATTGTCCCATTCACATTACATCTTTGTTTTTAAGGATGAAAAATGTGAGGCTCAGAAAACTTAAGTTAGGACAGTGTCTCCCGATAGTAAATGGCAGGGTCCTTTAGAATGCTACTCACCTCTTCCCAGATGCTGAGTTCTTAGGCTCAGTGCATTATTTTTCCTCTGCGCTATTGATGCAGGTTGGATATATTTGCTGTTGCATATGCATATGTCTCTCTTACTCCACTGTAAGTCCCAAATCCAGAGACAGTATATTAGTTATTTCAGTTTTCCTAATTACCAATATTAAGTGTGGTCCAGTGGATGCAGTGGAAGACATAAATTGAATTAATTCACTTCAATTCAAATTTCAGTTAATGTCTTGAGGACTAGGAATTAGTCTGCCTGAACACAAAGCTTGACACTGCCAGTTACTACTTGTGTAAATCAAACAAATTAAACAATCTTTTGGAGCCTAAGTTATCCCATAAAATCAGTGATGGTAATGACTAATGAACCTCATAGCATTGTTGAGAGGATGAAATGAGTATATATACAGTCAATCTTCAGATTCACAGACTTCCTGTTTACAGATTTTCCTATAGTTAAAATTTATTTTAATCCTAAAATAAATATTGCAGAGCTCTCGTGATCATTTAGGGACATGTGCAGAGTGGTGAAAAATCTGAGTTGCTTGGCATTCACATTTCCAGCAGAGGGTGAGCAAGGCAATTGCTCTACCTTCTTATTTCCATTTCCATGTTGTAATTGTTTTTAATTTTTTAATATTTAATTAGAGGGTAATTGCTTTACAATGTTGCACTGGTTTCTTCCATACAACAGCATCAATCAGCCATAAATATATCTATAGATATGCCCTCCGTCCTGAGCCTCTCTTCCCTCCTCCCCTTTAGGAGGTCACAGAGCCCCGGGTTGGGCTCCCTGGGTCTTACAGAAACTTCCCACCAGCTGTCTGCTTTACACACAGTGATGCATGTGTTTCAGTGCCCCTCTCCCCACTCATTCCACCCTCTCCGTTCCCCAGTGTCCGCGAGTCTGTTCTCTGCGTCGTGACTATCCCCGCCCAGGGATGGTCCCGCTCATCTGCGCCGTTTTCTAGATTTCGTGTATGTGTGCTGTTGCTTTGCAGGCCCTAAGTCGTGTCTGGCTCTGCAACCCCATGGGCTGCACACGCCAGGCCTCCCTGTCTCTCGCCAACTCCCGGAGTTTGCCCAAGTCCACTGTCCGTTGAATCGGTGCTGCTATCCAACCAGCTCATCCTTTGCTGCCCTCTTTTCCTTTTGCCTTTAATTTTTCCAAGTGTCAGGGTCTTTTCCAATGAATTGGCTCTTCACATCAGGTGGCCAAAGTATTGGAGCTTCAGCTTCAGCATCAGTTCTTCCAGTGAGTATTCAGGATTGATTTCCTTTAGGTTAGCTAGTCTGATCTCCTTGCAGTCCAAGGGACTCTCAAGAATATATATGTGTGTGTGTGTGTGTGTGTGTGTGTGTGTGTATTTATATACAATAGTCCATTTTATATATGTACTACAATTTCTTTGTTTGTTTGCCACTTTATTTTTTTATGAAGTAGAGCTGATCTACAATGTTGTGTTAGTTTCCGGTGTACAGCAGAGTGATTCAGCTATACAGTTTTCTCATATTATTTTCCATTGTGGTTTATGACAAGACTGAAACAGTTCCCTGTGCTGCACAGTAGGGCCGTGCTGTTTATTCATTCTGTGTGTAATAGCTTGCCTCTGCTCATCCCGACCTCCCAATCCAACCCTTCCCACAGCTGTCCTGCTTGGCAACCACAAGCCTGTGTCAGTGAGTCTGTTTCTGTCTCATGGATAGATTCATTTCCGTCATATTTTAGACTCCACATGTAGATGATATCATACGGTATGTCTTTCTCTGTTTTACTTCACATCATATGATGGTCTCCAGTTCCACCCACTTAGTTGCAAATGGCAATATTTCATTCTTTTTGTGGCTGAGTACTGTTCTCTTGTGTGTGTGTGTGAGCATGTGTGTGCGTATCTCACATCTTTATCCATTCAGCTGTCAGTGGATATGTAGGCTGTTTCCATATCTGGGCTATTGTCAATGGTACTGCTATGAACGTAGTCAAAGGCACTCAGTCGTGACCTTGTGACCCCCTTTGTGACCCCATGGACTGCAACCTGCCAGGCTCCCCTGTCCATGGACTTCTCCAGGCCAGAACACTGGAGTGGGTAGCCAGTATTCTTCCCCTTCTCCAGGGGGTCTCCCCAACCCACGGACGAAACCCAGGTCTCCTGCGTTGCAGATGGACTCTTCACCATCTGAGCCGCCAGGGAAGCCCATGAACATAGGGTGCATGTATCTTTTTGAATTATACTTTTGCCCTGATACATGCCAAAAGTGGGATTTCTGGATCACATGGCAACTCTATGTTTGGTTTTTTAAGGCACCACCGTACTGTTCTCCATAGTGGCAGCACCAATGTGCATTCCCACTAACAGTGTGGGAAGGTTCCCTTTTCTCCATACCATCTCTAGCATTTGTTATGTGTAGACTTTTTAATGATAGCCACTCTGACCCGTGTGAGGTGGTAGCTCACTGTGACTTTGATCTTGTCTGCCACGTTGAGTAATCCACGAACGGGCAAGCAGCAACATGAAAGCATCTCCCGGGGATTCCCTGGTGGTCCGGGGTTAGGACTATGACGTCTTTATCCAGTCATCTCTTGATGGACATCTAGTTTGCTTCTACACCATGGTTACTATACAAGTGTTTTCATGCAGCCTTTGCAGTGTCAGTTTTTCACATTTTTACGCTTCCTGTTGTGTGATTTTTTAATTAAAAGAATTAAATTTTCCTGAGTGTAGTGCTAAAAGAAGACTGTGATGTGCCTTAAGGAGAAAATAAGTATATGACATATAGTGCCGTTGGCTGTGAGACCAATGTTAATGAATCAACAGTATATTTTAAATAAGGTCTCTTTAAAGAGAAACATATGTAAACAATATTTTGGATTGATTGACTGATGAGAATGTGATCAGAGTCTTGCAGGAAACTATCTGTCTATTTTTGCTGGGAGCAAAGAAGCATTCATGAATTCACTGCTCACTGTTACTTTATAGAGCCTAACTGCTACAGATAATGGGGATCAGCTGTGACATAAATGTGTGTGTGTGTGTGTGTGTGTGTGTGTGTGTGTGTGGAGAAGGAAATGGCAACCCACTCCTGTATTCTTGCCTGGAGAATCCCAGGGATAGAGGAGCCAGGTGGGCTGCCATCTATGGGGTCACACAGAGTTGGACACAACTGAAGCAACTTAGTAGTATATATATATTCCTGAATGTGAGCACTCTAGAAGGGTAAGCTGTTTCTATTCTCAGTAGATATGATTTGGAAGATGGAGTCATTCCAGATATATGATGATTCAGTTAAGTTCAGTTCAGTCGCTCAGTCGTGTCTGACTCTTTGTGACCGCATGGACTGCAGCACACCAGGCCTCCCTGTCCATCACCAACTCCCGGAGTCCACCCAAACACATGTCCATCAAGTCGGCGATGCCATCCAACCGTCTCGTCCTCTGTTGTCCCCTTCTTTTCCCACCTTCAATCTTTCCCAACATCAGGGTCTTTCAAATGAGTCAGTTCTCCACGTCAGGTGACCAAAGTATGAACAGTATGACAACCTTAGACAAGTCATTAACCCTTTCTCTACCTCCGTTTCTCATATTCAAAATTAGTAAATGGGGTGACTGATCCATGAAACCCTTCAATTTCAACTATTATTTTTTTTTTTTTTTTACTGATTTTCTCATGAGTATGCTTTAGAGCTGGAGAACAAATTACTGCTGTAACTGAAATAGTTCACGGAGCATTTATACATTCCAGTTTCACTGTGCCCTGACTTTTTCATTCCTCTGTTCCGTTACTTCTCGTGGTTGCAGGGCATCCTGTGGTTCCTAAATGACACCCACGGAGAACGAAACAGAAGCGACTGAATTCATCCTCCTAGGGCTTGCTGATGCCCCAGGACTACAGGTCCCACTCTTCATGATGTTTACCCTCATTTACATTGTCCCTGTAGTTGGAAACCTGGGGATGATCACGTTGATTCTGTTGGACCCTCACCTTCACACCCCTATGTACTTTTTCCTGAGTAATCTCTCTCTGGTGGACTTTGGTTACTCCTCAGCAGTCACACCCAATGTGATAGCAGGATTCCTCACAGGAAATAAGGTCGTTTCTTACAATGCATGTGCTGCTCAGATGTTCTTTTTTATAGTCTTTGGCACCGGGGAAAGTTACCTCTTGGCTTCAATGGCTTATGACCGCTACGCAGCAGTGTGCAAGCCCCTGCATTATGCCACCACCATGACAAAAAACACGTGTGCTTGTCTTGTCATAGGCTCTTATGCGTGTGGTGTTCTGAATGCCTCTGTCAATGTGGGAGATAACTTCAGTCTCTCTTTCTGTAGGTCCAATGTGGTCAATCACTTTTTCTGTGATGTTCCAGCAGTCATGATTCTTTCTTGCTCTGATAAGCACATCAGTGAGTTGGTTCTTGTTTATATTAATACTTTCCACGTGGTTTTTGCTCTCATGATTATCTTTATTTCCTACCTGCTCATATTTATCACTATTCTGAAGATGCACTCAGCTGAGGGATATCAGAAGGCTTTGTCCACCTGCGCTTCTCACTTCACTGCTATCTCCATTTTTTATGGGACAGTCATCTTCATGTACTTACAACCCACCTCCAGTCACGCCATGGATACGGATAAAATGGCCTCTGTGTTCTATGCTATGATCATCCCTATGCTAAACCCTGTGGTCTATAGCCTGAGGAACAAGGAGGTCAAAAGTGCATTCAAGAAGGTTATTGATAAATCAAAATTGTCTCTAGGATTAGCTCTTTAATAATGTAGGATCCAAAAAAGTTAGTCATCTCTAAGGTGTCCTTTGCTCGGTGACTCACATGTTAAGGCCCACACAGCACTTATCTTCCTGAGGAGATATCCCCCCATCATATGATGTCAGATTCCTAGTAGAAACAAATGTAATGTTATTCATTGTTATCATGTTGATGCAAATGTACATGCAAAAACAGGAGAATACAGAAGCCTAGGGTTAGAACTGCATTCCTTTGTCCCATGTATGCACATACAATCTGGAGCAGGAAATTTGTTAAATAAATAAATCACATATGGCTGGTTTTTGAAAAAAAAAAAGAATTTTAAATGATCAATTGGGGTGCTATATGATCCAATAATTCCACACCTGAGAATATATTGGAATAAACTATAATTCAAAAAGATACATGCAGCCTTACGTTCATATCAGTGCTATTTGCAATAGCTAAGACGTGGAAATAACCTCAATGTCCATTGATAGATGAGTGGATAAAGAAGATGTGGTACATGTATACAATCAAATACTACTCAGCTATAAAAACAATAATGGTATTTGTACCAACAGGGATGGACCTGGAGATTATCATACCAGATAAAGTAAGTCAGAAAGACAAACACCTGTGATATCACTTACATGTGGAATCTAAAATATGATACAAATGAATTTATCTACAAAACAGAAACTGTCTTGCAAGACACAAAGAACAGACTGGTGGTTGCCAAGGGGAAGGGAGAGAAAGGAGAGCTGGGTCGGGAGTTTGGGATGAACAGATACAAACTATCACCTATGAAATGGATAAATGGCAAGGTCCTACTCTATAACATGCTGTTTCCAGTCTCCCCATCTATTTGCCATGGAGTGATGGGACCAGATGCCACTATTTTAGTGTTTTGAATGCTGAGTTTTAAGCCAGCTTTTTCACTCTCCTCTTTCACTTTCATCAAGAGGCTCTTTAGTTCTTCTTCACTTTCTGCCATAAGGGTGTCATCTGCATATCTGAGGTTTTTGATATTTCTCTCGACAATCTTGATTCCAACTTGTGCTTCATTCAGCCCAGCATTTTGCATGATGTACTCTGCATAGAAGTTAAATAAGCAGGGTGACAATATACAGCCTTGATATACTCCTTTCCTGATTTGGAATGAGTCCATTGTTCTGTGTCCAGTTCTAACTGCTGCTTCTTGAGCTGCATACAGATTTCTCAGGAGGCAGGTCAGGTGGTCTGGTATTCTCATCTCTTTAAGAATGTTTCACAGTTTGTTGTGATCCACACATTCAAAAAGGACATGAGTTTGGGTAAACTCCAGGAGTTGGTAATGGACAGGGAGGCCTGGTGTGCTGTGGTTCTTCGGGTTGGAAAGAGTCGGACACAACTGAGCAAGTGAACTGAACTGAACACAGTCAAAGGCTTTAGCATAGTCAATGAAGTAAAAGTAAATGTTTTTCTGGAATTCTCTTGCTTTTTCTATGATCCAGTGAATGTTGGCAATTTGATCTTTGGTTCCTCTGCCTTTTCTAAATCCATCTTGTACTAATGTATATATCCAAATTAAAATATAGATGCCATACAAGAGATAGCTTCATCTGCTTTGTTCATAACTCCTTGGTAAAAGTGAGTGAAAGCATTAGTTGCTCAGTCATGTCTGACTATTTGTAGCCCTCCAACTCCTCTGTCCATGGAATTCTCCAGGCAAGAATCCTAGAGTGGATAGCCATTCCCTTATCCAGGTGAACTTCCTGACCAGGAATCTAATCTGGATCTCTTGCATTGCAGGCAGATTCTTTCTCATCTGAGCCACCAGGGAAGCCCCCAGTCCTTGGTACTTAAATCAATTTCTGGATCATAGGAGAGTTAAATATTTTTAAATGAATGAATGTATGAATGAAAGGATGGATGAAGCTTTTATTTCAGCTTCATCCATCAGGACGAGTGTATTAAATATTTGAATCAGGATATTTATAATTCATTCATAAAATAAACCTTCTATATAAAATTAGCATTTCAAGAGGCATGACTGGTGTTTTGTTTGACTGAAATATTTTCTACATTGTCACTCAGTGCTTTTAATTCCCACTTACAGACACAATGATTAACTGGAAACTTTGTCATCATCCTGTAGAAATGATATCTCATTGACAACACATCAAATAGATTCTATTTAATAAGTCATAAAAGACAAAACATATCAAACTATTTTAATGCTTAATATCTGAGTTAGTTACAGTTATGCAGTTAATTCCAGTGATTCTAAACTTCCATAGATAATGTAAACATAACAATACTTATCAATAGTAAACATAATCTACATTAAATACCCTAGTAGAATAATATTTATGTGTTTTATTTTGATCTTTGGGGAGCTCAATTCTATAATAAAGATGCCCATAGGAACTTGCACCGATATTCCTTTCTCTGTGTCTACATACTTAGAGGCTTCCATACTCCCAGTATTAGCAAGACTGTGTTTGGATATACTGAGATGGACAGCAGTATGGACAGAGTGTTGCAATCCAAATATATTCTCTTCTGGCTCTAAGTTTATGATGATAGTGACGTGTCTTCTGCTGGAGCCATTTAAAAGTTACTTTTAAAACTTTTAATGCTTTATTTTTAATCATAGGGTAATTATAATATTGGAGAAGGAAATGGCACCCCACTCCAGTACTCTTGCCTGGAAAATCCCATGGACGGAGGAGCCTGGTAGGCTGCAGTCCATGGGGTCGCAATGAGTCAGACACGACTGAGCGACTTCACTTTCACTTTTCACTTACATGCATTAGAGAAGGAAATGGCAGCCCACTAGAGTGTTCTTGCCTGGAGAATCCCAGGGATGGGGGAGCCTGGTGGGCTGCTGTCTATGGGGTCACACAGAGTCGGACATGACTGAAGCGACTTAGCAGCAGCAGCAATTATAATATTGTGATGTTTTTTCGTACATCACCATGAAATGGCCACATATACCCCCTCCCTCTTACACTTCTCTCCCACCCCCTCCCCGTCCCAGCCCTCTAGGTTGTCACAGATCACCAGCAAACTCCCACTGGCTATCTATTTCACATTTGATATTGTGTGTGCTTCAGTGCTATCCTCTAAAGTCATCCCACCGCCCCTTCCCCCACTGTGTCCAAAAGTCTGCCTTTTATGTCTATGTCTCCTTTGCTGCTTTGCATATAGGATCATTGGTACCATCTTTCTAGATTCCACATAGATGCGTTAATATACAATACTTGTCTTTCTGACTTAACTTCATTCTGTTTAATAGGCTCTAGGTTCATCCATCTCATTAGAACTGACTCAAACATGTTCCTTCTTATAGCTTGGTAATATTCCATTGTGTATATGCACCACAACTTCCTTATCCATTCATCTGTGGATGGACATCTAGGTTGCTTCCATGTGCTAGTTACTGTAAATAACAAATGCTTTTAGAATATGTTTTAGATTTATAGAATAGGAGCAAAGATAGCATGAGTTCTCATATACACCTGTCCTAGTTTTTCCTAGTTTCATCACACTATACTACCTTGGCACATATATCAATACAAAGAATCCAACACTTATACACTGCTAACTGAATCCCATACTTTATTTGGATTTCACTAATTTTTTTCTCTCTACCATCCCTTTCCTGTTCCAGTATCCTATACATGGTAACACATGGTGAAATGAAAATGGTATTTGCTTTCTGACATTGTTTAGGGCAATGTTTTACAAGTAATATAACTGATGCAGCACCTATTACATTGAAAGTGAAAGTGATGGGGGGGGGGTAAGGAGACAAAGAAGGCTACGCAGTTAGATCTAAGAAAAAATTGGGGATATGGTGACTAACATTGGACCTAGTAGTAGAAATTCAGAAGCAACCTCCAGATTACTGAAGGAATGTCATTGGCAAGGAGGCCATGAGCCTTGAATTTAAAAATCTTTGCCTGAACATTCCAACAACTCTAGAAGCTCAAAATTTCATGTGTAGAAGTAATCTGCAAAAGCTGAATAGTCCCTAAAGAGATCATACTCCTCAATATGCACTTAAACTCCCTGCCATGGTCATCACTTTACATAAAACATTATATAAAACACAACATATCCCTACTTGTTTCAGGAAAAAGTCCATACCCTTAGCACTGAGCAATTCATCCTCTTTTGTAATGTCCCAGAACGTTCACTTGAGCCCTGTAGCTAAATGAGGCCTTTAAAAGGTACCTGAAGACCAATTAGAAACTCTTCTCTTCCCCAAACCTTAATTAAAAGCTTCCCTATCTTACACTATCTCAACTGTTACTGTTCAGTCGCTAAGCCATGTCTGACTCTTTGCGACCCCATGGACTGCAGCACTCCAGGCTTCCCTGTCCCTCACCATCTCCCAGGGTTTGCTCAGACTCATGTCCATGGAGTCGGTGATGCCATCCGACCCTCTCGTCTCTGTCACCCCCTTCTCCCGCCCTCAGTCTTTTCTGGAATCAGGGTCTCTTCCAATGAATCGGCTCTTCACATCAGATGGCTTAAGTATTGGGGCTTCAGTTTCAGCATCAATTTTTCCAGTGACTATTCAAGGTTGACTTCCTTTAGGACTGATTGCCTTGAACTGCTTGCAGTCCAAGGGACTCTCGGAAGTCTTCTCCAGCACCACAGTTTGGAAGCATCCATTCTTCAGCTCTCAGCCTTCTTTATGGTCCAGCTCTCACTCAATGAAACTATTATCACATCTTTCAGTTCAGTTCAGTTCAGTCGCTCAGTCGTGTCCAACTCTTTGCGACCCCATGAATCGCAGCACGCCAGGCCTCCCTGTCCATCACAAAGTTCCGGAGTTTACTCAAACTCATGCCCATCGAGTCGGTGATGCCATCCAGCCATCTCATCCTCTGTCGTCCCCTTCTCCTCCTGCCCCTAATCCCGCCAAGCATCAGGGTCTTTTCCAATGAGGCAACTCTTCGCATCTTTAAGCCCCTGCTGAAATCCAAGTAGTGACAGATGTGTACCCTTGCTGAATAAAAAGGAAAAGAACACAGCCTCTGTTAATTTTGCCTTAGATTTCATTTTGTCTTTGACACACTTCAGAACTCCTCATAAGAAATAACGGATAAAAGAAAAATATACCATCCAACAGATACACCAGGGACCAATGAAAACCATAGGAAATGGAATTCTCTCCAGAGATAAAAATCAGGGTCTTGTGAAGAAATATCTCCCATCAGTAAAACTGAAGAGCTTTCTTAATGTTAATTCAGCAACGTTTCAAAACTGAGCTGTGTATTTCCATTCTCTTCTTTCATAAAAGGGAACTCTTTTTTCAAATTATTTTTTACCGCATTCCAGTATCATATATTGAATGTGAAAGTAGGATGAGCTATATTTCTGCTTTGTTTTACTTTTTAGTTCCTAAGTGCCTTACCACAGGGAGCCACATTTAGACTGAATGGAGAGGACCATTAAACCCCTTTAGTATTTCAGACATTGACCTTTCATAGGAATTAGCTGCAATTTAGGTTGTCTCCTTAATGGAAGTAGAAAATATGTTGTATGTATGTGTGTGTGTGTAAAGGCAAAATATTTGATATTTATAAATATTACAATGAAAGAGACTCGTTAGCTGTGTGCCAAAATACTTTCTTTCTCCTCTTAGGCTTATAACTACTTGTATTCTCAGCCTTCGTGCAATTAGCTGTGGTCATGTGATTGTAGTCTTGTCAATGAAATGTGAATGTGTTGTATGTGCCATTTCCAAGTCTGGCCCTTGAAATTTCCCATGCAATTCTGTTTATTCTCTCTTTTGTTGTCATCAATTGGATATAGAATCCAGGCCAGAGGAGATACTGGAGCCACAAAACAGAAAGAACTTGGATTACCGTTCTACTGAGTTTCCGTAGAACAACTAACCGAACAACATATGAGCAGGAAAAATCTCTGTGGTTAAGCCACTGCAATTTTGGACTTTGATTGTATAACAGCAAATATTATAGTATTATTTATATCAACTAGCATGAACAGATTCCCAGAAGACAACCTGGATGCTGCTTGCAAGAAGTGGAAGGACGTTGTGACAAGAAACCCCATGAAGTGTCTACAGCACAAGTTAATTTCACTGATATTTGTTAATTCTCAATCAGCTTCTAAAACATAACAGGAGGAAAAAAAACCCACAAGTTTTGGAGAAAAAAAAAGACCATTCCAACCAAATTTTCTTGTCTAAGGAAACTTACTAAAATCTTCTGAGCTTCTTGCATGTGCTTTATTCATGGTTTTGTGTGTCCAGTGTTTTACTTATATGCATGTGTTGTTATAAGGCAGAGAAAATATGAACATATGAATGAATCAAAGATAATTAATAAAGTTTATTACAAGCAGGGCACCAAATACTCAAAGGCCCCTGTGGACATCCTCATTCAGATATCACATAGTTGGACATAACATTTTCTTTTTTCTTGATGATAGACTTTTGAAGGAGAAATGGTAATGTTACCTCAGTCATTTAAAAGTAGTGTGGGCCCTAAAATGTGAATAATTTCATGGTTAAAGACGGGGGAGGAATGAAACTAGGTTATTTGGAATCTTATAGCTTTAAAAGGTGAAGCCTAGAGACAAGTTTGCTTTTTCTACTGCCTTCTTGAAAGCACTTTTAACCTCCTTGTTTCTTAAACTATAGACCAGGGGGTTCAGCATGGGGATGACCATGGTATAGAACACAGACGCGATTTTGTCTACATCCATGGAATGACTGGAGCTGGGCTGGGAGTACATAAAAATGACAGTCCCGTAGAAGATGGAGACTGTGGTGAGGTGAGAAGCGCAGATGGATAAAGCCTTTTGATATCCCTCGGCCGAGTGCATCTTCAGGATGGTGACAAATATGAACAGGTAGGAAACCAAGATAACCGAAAGGGCAAAAAAGATATTGAAGCTTGCCACAAAGACAAGAACTAGCTCACTAACACATCTATCAGAACAAGAGAGAGCCATGACTGCTGGAACATCACAGAAAGAGTGATGGACTAGATTGGACCTACAGAAAGAGAGACCAACTGTGTCCCTGATGTGAACAGAGGCATTCAGAAAGCTGTAGACATAGGAACCTGTGGCCAGACCAGCACACACACTGGTTGTCATGGTGGTCGTGTAGTGTAGGGGTTTGCACATGGCTGCATAGCGATCATAAGCCACTGATGCCAAGAGGAAATTTTCCACGGTGGCCAGGGCTACAAAAAAGAACATCTGAGCAGCACATGCATTGTAGGAGATGACCTGGTCTCCCATAAGCAGCTCAGCCATCACCTTGGGAGTGACAGCTGTAGAATAACAAAAGTCCACCAAAGACAGGTTACTAAGGAAAAAGTACATGGGAGCATGAAGACGAGAGTCCCTGAGGATCAAAACAATCATCCCCAGGTTTCCAACCACGCTGAGGAGGTAGATGAGAGCAAACACGATGAACAAGGGGACCTGCAGTCCGGGGGCACTGGTGAGTCCCAGCAGGATGAATTCAGTCACCCCTGTTTTATTCTCCATGGATGTGGTTTGGGAATCACAAGATGATGCCCTGTAGCAATGAGAAATAAAGGAACAGAGAAATTTAATGGAGAGAAATTGAAACAGATAGATAACTAGATGATTGGTAGATAGGTAGATGTGCATTATTGCATTATGGCAATAATTATGAATTAATATTATTCATATAAAATATGCTTTGACAACAAGTTTTAATGCATATTAATATAGAGTTATACATTGTTGAAAATGAAGGGCCTTTATGGTCCATCTCCTACTGTCTAAATTTTATAAACGTGTGAACTGAAATGTGAAAATATGAAGTCTTCATCTAGACGGCATGTCTGAATGAGTACATGTGTCCTTTCAGTTCCCTGAGCCTGGTAAGTGCTTGCGTTTTGTGTGTTGCTGTTGTGCCAGGAGCTGCCCTGTGCACGTCGCCTGTGCATCAACTTGCTTTTCTCAACAAGCTTAGAAGATTGACTAGTTGCTGCACTGTTTCAATTTTTGAAGCCTAGGGGTTGAGTAATGTATTTAAATTTACAAAATTATTACTGTCAAAGTCAAGTTGTGTACCCAGGAAGAGTCATTCTTTGGTCCACTGGTCTGGGACTTTGGGATTAACAGATGCAAATTATGGTATACCGGATAGATAAGCAATAAGATCCTACTGTATAGCACAGAGAACTATATTCAATAGCTTGTGACAAACCATGGTGGAAAAGAACATGAAAAAGAATGTATACGTATACCTGAGTCACTTTGCAACAGAAATGAACAACAGTGTAAATCAACTGTACTTCAATAAAATTTTTTTAAAAAGAAATAAATTAAACTCCCCTCCAATAAATAAATAAACAAATAACATTGAGTTTTACTCACTTTGCAAGTACTCATTGTCTCCATTGGCCCAAACTCAGTGTTTGGGTTTCCCCGTCAAGTAGCTGAGACACGTATGTGTGACAGATCTAGCAGAATAGCTAGAGCCCTTGCTAGCAAAGGCAGTTCTGAGGGGAGGACACAGCGTTGCGTGTAGAGCTTGGGTTCTGGGAAGAGATGCATGCAAGTCTTACCATTGGCTACCCAAGAGTCATTGGTTGTAACCTAACTACTTGGTCCTGGATTTCCCCATGTACAGAATAATAACTCCTCAAGGTAGTATTGTGAGAATTAGATGAAATAATGTATCAAAAAAATAAGTCAAAAGCTGAGTGCCTAGCATCTCCTGCTAAGCATTAGTTGTAACATTGTCCTGAGGATGAAATGACAGGCTCTGTGTGTGAGAAAGGCAGGGGAAACCAGGAGCTCGGATGTGCGTGAGCTCTGAAGCCTCGCAGCCTCTCTTCAGTGTTGCCTCACTCTCTGTCCGCTGGAACCTTGGTGTCCTCCAGTGTTTCTCAGCCTGTCGGCTCTCTTCTACCATGAGTGGGGAGTGAGTGAACGTTGCTCAGTTGTGTCCAGCTGTTTGCAACCCCATGGTTGCCGAGCTCTCTGTCCATGGAGTTCTCCAGGCAAGAATACCGGAGTGGGTAGCCTTTCCCTTCTCCAGGGGGTCTCCCAACCCAGGAATCAAACGCAGGTCTCCCACTTTGCAGGTGCATTCTTCAGTGTCTGAGCCGCAAGGGAAGCCCAACTCTTCCTTCAGTCCTCAGTAAATTGTAAGGTGGATCGCGTTGTTACACCCATTCCACCAGTAGGAACACTGAGGGCTTGAGCATCCATGTAAAGCTGCACGATTAGTTGTTAGCATGAAAAAGATTCAGGATTCAAGATTCACACCCGGCTGTGACCAAATCAGAAGCCTGTGCTTTCAGCCACCTCACTAGCTGCATTTGTAAATGTGCTAGTAATCATAAGGATGATTATGGGGGAAAGATTACAATAGAGTTAGGATCTCGCTAACTTGATTAGAACACTTCTGTGGTTTAAAGAAAGGTTACTTCACTCTTGTGGTTTTCTTTCTTGCCTCCAATGAGATGACATAGGATAGTAACTAAGATGAGATTAAGACTTAGTAACAGGATCTTCTATTCTTTTGTGTTTTTTTGCTATTGGTTTATAGGAGAACAACATGACTTTATTCTATATGTATCTCTAAACTCCCATGGATGGAAATTTTGACATTCAAACTTCAGCCTCTACTCACTGTTTTAGGGAAAAAAAATGTTGAAACCGTGTCTTTCTGTGCTCAGATAATTCATAGTAGATATAGCTGCCCCATAGACTTTACATGAATTATACTTCTCACTAAAAATGTATATGAAACATAGAAGCTTACCTTGCTGCTGGAAAAGAAGAGACAGTCAATCCCAAACAGTGATAATGAAATCAGACATTTAGTCATGGAATAAAGCACATAACCCTTGTAGCTCAGCTGGTAAAGAATCCGCCTGTGATGCAGGGGACCCAGGTTCAATTCCTGGGTCTGGAAGATCCCCTGGCGAAGGAAATAGCAACCCACTCCAGTATTCTTGCCTGGAGAGTCCCACGGACAGAGGAGCCTGGAGGGCTACGGTCCATGGGGTTGCAAGAGTTGGACAAGACTTCGTGACTAAACCACCACTGTTAGAGACAGTCTTTATCAGATACTGGTCCAAAGATCCCAAGACCTCAAAGACAAATAAAGATGGGGGAAGGAACCCAACATGGAGTTAGAAACCTGGATAAAAGTCCCAAATTCACCACTAATTCTGACTATGCTCTTGGAGAAATCACTTTTCTTCTTGTTTGAAAAACAATTGATAATATTACCTCTTTTTGTAAATTTCACAGAATTGTGCCTGTAACTAGCAAATGAGGGAAGCTCCGTAAAACATCTTGCTGAGAGGTTATCATTTTAGAGCCAGTCAATGTAATTTTACTCTGAGACGTTTTCTCTGGCCACCATAGCAGATCCTCAGGTTCAAGGCCAGAGAGGGATGCCTTTGTTTGGTAAATGATGGCCAAAGGGGCTCAGCACATATTCTGTGATGTCACATGGATTTATGTTGGGATTTCAGAGGCTGGCTCATGGGAATCAGAAAGGAGCCATAGAAACACAGAATACTCTGGGGGTTTCCCCATGAGAGCATCTGTAGCTCTCATCCCATGTTCTTAGGGAAGTAAGAAGTAAATTGCTTGTGGGATTCTGCTGGATATATTGATAGTATACACGTGTTTTCATATTCATTGCTTGTTCTTCATTTTTTTCCCCCCATTTTGTGCTCAAAGTGTAATTTACAAACCATTAACATCCACAGCTTTTAGTGTATTATTCTAAGAGTTTGGTTAAATTTTATCTGGTCAGGTACCACTGCCATAGCTACAATACAGAAGAGTTCTATCACCTTAACAAAAACCCTGAGCTTTTTTATGCCAAGGGCTGATTATCAATGTCTTAAGCTCAAGCAGTCAAGTAGAAAGTGAATTCAACTTGCAACCATTTTGTTTTATTCAGGTCCACAATGAATTGCATGATGCTCACTCACATTGGAGAGGGTCATCTGCTTCACTCATTTCACTGATTCAGATGCTTATCTCTTCTACAAACAGCATCACAGTCACACTCAGAAACAGTGTTTAACAGTGTATCTAGGCATTCCCTGACCTACTCAAGTTGATACATATAATTAACCATCACAGAGGGACTAGTTATTTTCATTTTGTTGCCGTTTACTGTCTTGTAGCTATTTTCCCCCTCTTTCACTCTCTTGACACTTTGCTTTGTGCGTTGCTGACATTTTGTAGTGATAGACTTTGATTCCTTTCTCATTTCTGTTGTGCATCTACTGGTACTGTCTTTGGGATTACCACAATCCAAGTCCAAAATGTCTTTTGGGGCTTACACAAAACATCTCATAGTTAAAACAATCTCTTTTTGACTAGCAACAACTTAACTTCCATCACTTACAAAACTCTGCTCCTATATACCTCTCTTTCTCTTTTCATTACTCATATCACAAATTATATCTTTCCATATTTGGTATCTGGTAGTACAAAATTGCAGTTACAGTTATTTTTATCTGTTTATCTTTTATATTCTATGCTAGAATTCAAAGTGATTTACATACTTCAATTACTATATTGCAAGATTCTGTATTTGTCTATATATTTTCCTTTATCAGTGAGTTTTCTATTTTCATATGGCTTTTGCATTGCTGTCTAATGTCTTCTCATTTCAACTTGAAGGACTGCTTTTAGCATTTCCTATCAGGCAGGTCTACCAGTGATGAACTCCTTCCACCTTTTTAAAAGTTGGGAGTAGAATGGACATACAATGTTACATTAGTTTCAGGTATATAGCATGGTGACTTATATGCATTAAAGATGATCACCACATTAAGTTTAGTTACCATCGCTCTCAATTTAAAGTTTTTATAGTATTATTAACCATATTATCTACTCTGTATACTCCATCCCCAAGACTTATTTTATAATTGGAGATGGTACCTTTTAATCCCTTTCCCCTACTTCATCAATCCCCCACCCTCTCCTCTCTAGCAACAATTTGTTTTTTCTCTGTATCTATGATCCTGTTTCTGTTTATCATGCTTGTTCATTTGTTCTGACTTCTGGATAATGAACCTCCATGTTTCTGAAGGGATTTCATTCCTAAGAAAGCTATGCCTTTGTTTAAAAAGTCTGACTAAACATTAAATTGCCTCCAAAATTTCCAAATTGCATGAATGGAAAAGTGAAGTTGCTCAGTCGTGTCCGACTCTTTGCGACACCATGGACTATAGCCCACCAGGCCTCTCCGTCAGTGGGATTTTCCAGGCAAGAGTACTGGAGTGGGTTGCCATTCCCTTCTCTGGGGGATCTTCCCCTGACCCAGGGATTGAACCCGGGTCTCCTGCATTGCAGGCAGATGCTTTACCCTCTGAGCCACCAGGGAAACTTGAATGGAAGTAAGCCACAAACAAATATTCTTCAAGGACGAAAGACCCTTCACCACCGCTTCAGAAGTCATCATAAAAATAAAGTATTAAGAAAGCAGCATTCAAAAGGTTGAATCGGATGCTAAGAAAAAGAATGAAAAATAT